CTTGTGTCACCGTGGCTCCATCGTCGTCTTGTGTTTCTTCTTTGATTTTTCTATCCGGCTGATTTCCTTTCTTTATGTCTCTGCTTCTTTTCTTCCGTGCTTCTTTTTTTAGTCCTTTTCTTTCTTCTATTTCCCGCCCTCTCACACAAACACACACACACACACACACGCACAACACAACACATGCTTACTCTCTATCGCACACACACACACACACACACACACACACACACCACACACTCCACACACACACACACACACACCAAACACTCCACACACACACACACACACACACACATATGCAGTCTTCACAAAGCAAGAAGAATGTCGTCACAGTAGACTTTCAGGTACAGAAAGGGCACATACGGATCTGATGTAGTTCTCACAGACCACGGAGAATGTTGACGTCAGTAGAATTTCAGGTACAGGACATTTTGGAAGAATGTAATGATTCTATTGTCTCTCTTCACGTTCTTTCTTGTGTTCTGGACAGGATGGAGTGTGCTGATGTACGAAGAACTTTGATGTGAATTTTTGCATTTCTCCTATTGCGGCTACGTATTTACGACTCCCTGCTTTGCTCCCTTGAAAAACGGAAGCCTTTGAACTTTCAAAGCCCCCTCCTTCTCCCTGTCTTTTTTACTTAAATAATCACCCCTCTACATTTTCCAAGTGAAATCAATTCTTTCGACGAGCTCAGATTTTTCTGGAAAGTTAATGTGTATGTGTGTTTGTTGTTCCCCCAAATAGTAGTATTTCAATACTCACTCCACGCTCCACCCCTTTTTTCTATTTTGAGAATAAGAAATAGATAGATAGATAGTTAGATAGATAGATAGATAAATAGATAGATAGATAGATAGATAGATAGATAGATAGATAGATAGATAGATAGATAGATAGATAGATAGATAGATAGATAGATAGATAATAGAGAGAGAGAGAGAGAGAGAGAGAGAGGGAGAGAGAGAAGAGGGAGAGAGACGGAGAGAGAATAAGAGAGAGAGGAAGGGAGAGAGAGAGAGAGAGAGAGAGAGAGAGAGAGAGAGAGAGAGAGAGAGAGAGAGAGAGAGAGAGAGAGAGAGAGAGAGAGAGAGCGAGCATGCCCCACCAAAAGACGCACAATCGTTTAACACTTTCTTTTCATAAATTGTAGCAATAACCACTGCAGGGTTCAGGGAAATCAAAGCGAACTAAATTTTAATGTTTTGCTGAATGCGCACTGCTGAAACCATTTCATAATTAGTTGTAACGTTTACTTATACACCTGCTGTCTATCGTTTGTTATCATTTGTTATTCATAATTGAGTTTATACTTAATTGCTGCACAACCTTTTTGTTTTTATCAGAACGCTTAAACCTTTGGTGGTCTTTGATCGTGCTTCGAAAATACCTTTAGCGTGTCAAAAGTGGTGTAACATGTCGATAACATTTTTGGAATGTTTTAGACGACATGCTAGTGGTCTATTCTTGCATCAGCCGCTCGTTCCGTTTATCTTAAAGACAGGTCCCAACGATTCGCGACAGCATGGATATTACGATATCAACTTCAAAGACTGATGGAGAGAGAGGGACAGAGAGAGAGGGGGCAGAGAGAGAGAGGGAGAGAGAGAGAGAGAAAGAGAGAGAGAGAGAGAGAGAGAGAGAGAGAGAGAGAGAGAGAGAGAGAGAGAGAGAGAGGGAGGGAGGAATATGAACAGTTGTTTGAGTGAGAGACGTGGGGCACTTGAAAAAAAAGGCACGAAATGTACGCCATAATATGATGACCCAAAATTCAAATGGTTTCACATTTGGGATTCAATTAAACTTAATTTGTTACCTAAGTACGTGGATATGGTTACCTTGCTGGGCCCACTACGAGGCTAGATTCTTCTTTCAAGTATCCCCACACCAAACGTTATCCTGATTTTGGCTGATATATTGATTAGGCCTATTTGGTTCTAAATGTGAAAAGGGATATCGGAATATGGTGACAGTCCCCTTCCCCTTTTCTCCCCCCCCTAATCCCCCC